TGTCTTTTTATACAGAGTGTGTAAACTTCTGGTCTAAACTGTACATAAATGATAGAAAGCATAACACTGTAAAGCTCACTGAGGTAACAGCACTACATAGACCATAATGCACCAGCTGCTACACAGGTCTGATTTAACTGACTTTATTAGTTACTGATGCATCCAGCTGGGTTGTTGTTTCCGTCTGTTACCATCCGTGACTACTACTGACTGTTAAGGAATTATCCTGTAGTACTGTGTTATTACTGCTGTTATTATTACTACCAGTAGGACCAGTAAAGCCGAACCTGGTGCTGCTGGTGCTGCTGGTGCTGCTGCGGCTTTAAGAGGAACAGAGCTGCTCTGTTTGTGTTTCCTCAGCGGGTGTGACTCAGTCTGCACTCCGCAATAAAGTCCCGGAAAGTCTTCCTGGTTGGATCAGTGTGAGTTCACCAGAGTCTGTGAGCAGCATGTCGGAGTGGAAGCAGAGATGTGAGGCTGAGTGGGGTCTGCAGGGCGCCCCGATGCCCGACGGCGTGGACTGGAAGGCCGTGTACGAAGCCGCACCGCTGGGAAAGAACCTGCTGAAGAACCCCGCACCTCACGGTACCACAGCACCTCACGGTACCACAGCACCGGCACACACAGGCTCGGTGCTGATCCACACCACTCATTGCTCTCAAGACGGATCCAGACACAGTTTTACTGATCCAGAGTCAGTTTATTCAATCACAGACGGTTTATAATCAGAACTTTGTTGTCATTGCGCATGTCACAGGTACAGAGACAGTCTTACTGATGCAGAGACAGTTAGAATCCACAGAACCGGTCCAGAGGAGGGTTCAGAGCTCAGAGATACTGATCCATAGCTGGTCTTTGGTGCAGATATTAACTTAAAAGTCATTTCAGGTGTTTCCATTGGTTCACAGTCGTGTTTTTATTCACTCATGATCACAAAGTGTTTCAATCCAAACCGAACCTTTTGTTAGAATCTGTGTTTTAAACCCAGAATTTCAACGTGTGTTTCTCATCCTGACAGCTGTTCTCGGTCACAACTCATTTTGATTAGTTACCAACAAGGCACACACTTCCTCATGAACACCGATGAACACCTTTGTGCGATGTGGCTGATGAAGACGTGTGAGGCGAACATCGCCCTGCTGCTGGTGAATGTTGTCCTCAGAGAGTCTTCATCACTGTCCTTGGTTTGATTTTAAATGACCTGTGCCATGCAGCCTTATTCAAGTGGCGACAACAGGCCTGAATACAGGATCAAAGCTGATCATCTGGAAGGAAACATGACATTTTGTTTCGTCAGGTGTCTAAAAATTGCGTTTGAAAAACACGACCGCAGCATGTTTTACCAGAAAACAGAAAATCTGGGTTGAATCCACAGACTTTGCACAACACAGTGAAAAGCTTTCACAGGGAACCACGACTATGTCAGCATGGAGGACAGAGAAAGACAGTGACCCCAGATCGATCTGTGACCAAAGGAATAACTGAAAAAGCAGTTGTTTGAGTCCTGTATTCAGTTAACAGAATTTTAGGCTTTAACGTCTACATTTCATCTACATCGGTGTTAGGACTGTGTATCTGGGCGTGGTGAGGAATAAGACCGTTGCATTGCAAATCAAAAAGCTTTTGCAACACCAGTGACAAATTCAGTGGAACCTGAGGTGTGTCGCAATGTGCAGAAATGATGCAGACGAATGCGTAAAGAGTGTGTTTTTACAGAAGAAGAGAGGCACACCCAGTGACTCGTCCAGGGAGGTGATGTTTACTGAGGGATCACAGAGGTCACACCAGTAATTTGTCTTCTTCCTGACACAGGGCTGAGTAAAGATGTTCCTCCACCTGAACCCGACCTGCCCGAAGTGCCACCAGATGGACCTCCACGCTTTCAGCCTGATGGTGAGAGACAGGAGAGATCAGCCGATTAAAAAGCAGGAGAATTAATGAGGTTTTGTAAATCTTAGCTGATCTTTTAATGCCTAGGTGACTTTACCGGTTGGACCACGAGCACAGAGGTGCTGCCCTATGATAGCAGTGGCATCCCAGAGGGTGCCGTGATCTGCAATTTGCCTACATTCAGGTAACTGAGGACATGAACCACACAGCTGCTTGGATCAGGGCTTAGCAGTGAGCATACATGTACAGACTACACTGAAGAAAGTTGCCTGCAGAGTTGTTGAAACCAGCAGCACAGCATGCTTTGAATTCACCTGGGCTTCGGCTCTTTGCTGCAGCAGTTTGTGCAGTGAAGTCAGGTGGAGCTCAACGTAACTCTGGCCTGCTCTTTCCTCCTCAGCTGGTTCACCATGGAGCAGGTCGTGGACCTGAAGGCAGAGGGCCTGTGGGACGAGCTGCTGGATGCCTTTCAGCCTGAGATAGTCGTCCAAGACTGGTTGGTTTATGAGCATTCCCACCCTTCAGCCCATATAACAGACAGTATATGATCACTTATCACTGCGGCCTTATCAGCACATAGGCGACACCATGTATAGGACGTGTTTCACAGCTGTACTGACAGGCTTTGTGGTTTACTTTAGAATATTAACATGTTTGAGCAGATTTGTGGCAAAGACGTGCATTTACTATTGCTGGCCACCACTGTTGGGTTATTAAATAGATTTAGACTGAAGTACATAGTCGTAGGCATACTTAGAGCAAAACACAGCAGAGACATGATACACTGATCAGACAGAGCTTTGAAGCCAGTGTTGTGTAGCTCTGACCCATCGGGGCATGGACAGGACCTCTGGGGTGAGCGGCCAGTCCTTTGTGGGTTGTTGGGTGGGGCCGATGTGGGTTAGGTTTATTCAGATGCTTTCCCTGGGTGCTCAATCAGGTGAGGATTTGGGGAGTTGGAGGGCGGAGCAGTGCGTTGAGCTCTGGGTCCTGATCCTCCAGCCAGTCCTGTTGTGTGGCGTTGCACAATGAGTTGCTGCAGCTGCAGAGTGATTTAGTCATGCAGGATGTGTAACAACGTTTTTGTGGGTGTGACGGGTCACATTAATGTCGTGACCCCGTAGGACGTAACGTTATGAGGAAACGATCCATGTTCTCACTTCACCTGTCAGTGGTTTTAATGTTGTGGCTGATCAGTGTATAAAGACTTTTTCTTAGATTCTGGTGGTCAAACAGCAAACACAAAGACTCAGGTTTATTGTTTGAACTTACACACCTGAAATCTTCACTACCTGTATAACATTATATGAATCTGGAGAGACATGGATGTAAACTGATCAGTTGGCAGGTTAGTGCAACTACAAGGCAGGAATTCCAGCTTTCTGTTTCACTTGTTCCCATCAGTTACCAAGAAGCATCCTTGTTATGTGACACAAAGCATAATCAAAATACAAATGTCTTTTTAGCTGTTTTAAACCCAGATGTAGAAGCTATTATTGGAAACTTATTTCTCCATGTGTATTAAAGTGAGCTGTGCGCTGGGCTGCATGTTCGGCTGACCGTCCCACTAAAGGAATCTCCAGGTTGTGCTAAAATTTACTGAAACTGATTAATTAAAGGGCTGCAAGGTGTCTCAGCGGTTAGCACTGTTGCCTCACAGCTAGAAGGTCGCCGGTGAGGACACCCGGGATCTTTCTGCGTGGAGTCTCCATGTTCTCCCCGTGCAGCGTGGGTTCTCTCCGGGTTCTCCGGCTTCCTCCCACAGTCCAGAAACATGCTGAGGTTAATTGGTGATTGTAAATTGTCCGTAGGTGTGAATGTGAGTGTGCTTGGTTGTCTGTCTCTAAGTGTAGCCCTGTGATAGACTGGTTACCTGTCCAGGTGAACCTGCCTTCACCCTGAGTCAGCTGGGATAGACTCCACCCCCCATGATCCCAGTGAGGATTAAGGTATAGAGATGATGGCTGATTAATTAAAAGAGTAGTAACTGAACACAGGTCTGTTTTCATGATATTTTATCCAGGAAACATCTTTGAAGTTATGAGAAAATAAAGACCAATCTTGTGTCATTTTATCAGGTATGAGGAGAGTCAGCTGCATAAATCCATCTACCAGCTGCAGGTGAAGCTTCTGGGTGCAGACAGAAGCACAGTGATCTCAGAGCACTCTGTCAGCCCCACCGAGGAGCTCCAGAATTACTCACACAACTGGAAGGCGGTGAGTCGCCGAGTCCCCCGACAGTGATCCTCTTCTCCCTGTGTCCAGACTGTTCACTGCATGTGTCTGTGTTGGCCTGCAGGTGGCGCATGTGTTCTCCGGCTACGGACCTGGGGTCAGATACGTCCGCTTCGTGCACCGTCTGAAGAACAGCTTCATGAATGGGTTCTTCCCCACGCTGTTCACCGGCAGCTCAGTGATTGTAAAACCAGTCAAGACCAGTGCATAGGCCAAATCCTGCCATGGCTGCTAACACACCCAGTCTAACCAGTTTGGTCAACATACGAAGAGTTCATTTGCAAAAACAGATTTTTGTAGATTTTCAGAAAGCTTGTTTTTTTGTTGTTTGCTTGAGATGATATCAGTCAAACTGAAGCTGAGTGGATCCAACAACAGAGAGCTGAAGTGTGACTGGTGTTGTCTCAGGTGGACGATGGAGACGTGGGTTTATGAAGGTTTGTGAAGATGGAGGTATCTGGTTTTGTAAATGAACTCCTCATATGTTGGTCGTTATGCTGGTAACTAAACAGAACATGTTCAGCCTTTCTATTGACTTATTTGATGGGATTGTTTTTTGCAACAGCTTTTGAGATTTTATTTTTTCACGTCAGGCCCTTATCTTCTGGGCGGGTTCTAAACCTTCACACCTGTGTGGCGCAATAATACAAAATAAAGTTCACTTGTTTTAGACTTGATTGTTTCTTTTAAGCACTCACACCTGTGTCTGAAACATACTGGAGACATACAGCATACAGATGAAACAGGCGGACAGCAGACACTCAGTGTGTTTCAGCGTATCAGATCATTTATGTGACATCCTCCTTCATGAACTCGTCCTCATTAGTAGAACTTTACTGAAGTTCTGCAGCCTGTGGTGAGCTCATCCACGGGGTTATTTTTCTCTCATAATGTGCAGAAACATTTTGTTAAATACGTTTTATGGTACCACTGTTTCTTTGTTTTTTTAATTTTATTTCTCACAAGACACTCTTTGTATGTGGTTAATAAATCATTACTAATGTTTCATTAAGCCAAGAATACCTGTAGGGTTAACAAAAACTCCCTTTGGTTGGTCAGACCACTTGTTTATAAAAATAGGGAAGAGAAAACAATTTAACATCACATTCATTAAGAAGGGCCTTAATGATTAAACCCTGTAATAATGATTTATTAGCCACCCTAATGACTTCAGATACTCCACAGCAATAACTTGTCCATTTATCATTAATAAAGTCAGAATAGTTCAAATCGTAATGCTATTCATGAAGAGCATCTAATGAAAAATAGAAATGAGGTCTTTTCAGTTCCCTACAGACATCTGGTGCTTTCTGAGAGATGATAATGATGATGACAGATGTTTAAAGGCGTTTGTTTTTAGGACAGTGTTAACTGTAGATTAAAATATAAAAGGGAAAAACCTGTTAAGTGCTTCTTTGTGCCCCGAGTATTGTCTGCAGGTGTTTCAGCGACCTTCAGGTAGTGTGAGAAGCCTGAGAGGATAAATTCAGGTTTTTTTTTTCTGTAAGAGCAAACATGTCCAAAACTGAAGGAGGAAAAATAGGATTTTGAAAAGGAGGGGACAGGTGTCTCCTCAGCCACAGAGGAAATTATCTGCACAGGAAATTAAAACAAACAAACAAACAAACAAACAAAGTCTATAAAATTAATCCTGAAATAATAAAGCAGGGAATAGTTAAATGAAGAGGTTTTTATTTTTTTTGAAGGGACATTTTTCAAATGACTACTTTTGAAAAAGATTTGGTGACTTTTATATCATTTATAACATTTATTTATTCCCATAAATATAGATATATATATTCTACTTATTTATGTATGTGTGGGTGTTTGTTTATTTACTAATTTAATTGTTTAATATTGAATAAAAAAATAAAAAATAAAAAAGAAGACCTAGTGAGCTGATCACAGACCCGGTCCAGTAACCAGATCAGGCAGTCCACTTATAAAAAATAAATAAATAAATAAAGTCCGCTTTGCAGTTGCGCACTTTCCTTCTCCTGCTTGTGCTGCCTTCACGCGCTCCTCACAACAACCGCACTCATACACTGTTTGCACGCGCTGCTGCGACAAAAACACGCTCGTTAGATGTTAGGTTTCACACAGCAGTCAACGGCCACCGAGCACTGAGCTGATTGTCGTTATTTCCAGCCACCAACACTTCGCTTTTCGCTTTTTGAACTCCGCAGAGTTCCGAGCGCTGGCTCTGGAGCGGACCCTGAACGCAGCACGTCAGCCGCCGCGTGCGCTCGCAGCAGCAGCAGCAGCATCACCGCCGCCCGCGCGACTTAACGACAATGTGAGTTAACGGAAAAGTTTCCTCCGTGAGTCCAGGCCGAGCGACGGGCAGACCGGGAGAGTTTTACCGGCCGCGTGTTTCCAGACTTCCAGAAGCGATGCCAGCAGCCTGCGGCGGAGCGGTGCCATAGAGCCCAAGGTAAGAGCTCAGGGCCGGCCGGGCGGGACGGAGGGACAGGTGCGGCGGTACAGCGAGCCGTGACCCACCGGTGGTTCCGATGCTGACATCAGACACTACACCTGTTCATGGTCACTTATGGTGATGGTTTGAGCAGACCGGGTTGTTTTAAACGGTTCTGTCTATTAATGTTAAACTTGAAACGCGGTCTTGTTGGACCTGAACACCTGGTTCCGGTTCTGTCAGGACACCTGCACAATGAGGTCAGGAGCCGTAGTGAAGAAAACACAGGGTAGAGGTGTGATAAAGGCATGTACCGGTACAGTGTTCTGCCCCAAATGTGCCGAACAGGTGAAGTTCTGACGACATGCAGGTATGACTGAATAAACACTGGGTTGGTGGTTCTGTGTCTGTGGCAGCTGATGGACTCTTTGGACCTACTGAGTCCTGCTCTGGCCGGTCAGGGTGAAGTCAGTGTCTGTGTGTTCCTGCTGGAAACCTAAAAGTTCAGCCTGACATGTTCTAATAAAGCGGACAGAACCAGCAGCAGTGATCTGGCAGAACCACATCGGGCGTCTCTCTGGTGTCACTGGCTGCCCACAGGAGTGTTAAGAGCTGCTGATGTGTGAGACAGGAGGCGCTGACTGCAGATACACCCCCAGTGCTGCTCCATTATATTTGATTACGCAGATGATATCACTTATATCACTTTTCAGACACGCATCCAGAAAAGCAATATGATCATTTTTTGGTACATTTATTTTTATTTTTATTATTATTATTATTATTATTATTATTATTATTATTATTATTATTATCATCATTATATTATGTACCTGTGTGGCCTGTTTTCCTGTCATTTATCACACACATTGACTTAATATCTGTTTAGGAATAATGCATTACAGTTGAGTCATTAGTTAGATAAGGCACAGAGACTGTATTTGAGGTAATTACAAATAAAAGCATCAAAGCCATAGACTGTGAATTTAACAGCCAATTAAAAAAGCCCTTGTTATGCTAGTAAAGCCTCTAATATTGCCTATCAGACTGCAATTTGTTGAGTCACCCTTAAGGGCACATTCAGACTGATCTGAGACCATCACAACAATAAAGCCGTAGACGGTGGTTATTACAACACATTACTATTATACTACAGGCTATTATGCTGGTTATTTGATTAGACTATAATTGATCAGTGACTATTTTGTATAAATTTATATTTTGGAGGCCGTTTGTGCTGCCACTTTCTTTATTATGAGTATTTTATTTATTATATCTTGTATCCTAATATCTATCTATCTATCTATCTATCTATCTATCTATCTATCTATATAACAGGTGAATTAATCCTTAATTAAAACAGTTGTGATCCTTTTTTACATGCTTTTTTTTGTTTTTTTGCCAGAAGACAGCTGTTATCTCATCTGGCTTTTTTGTTTTCTGTGTGTTTATCGTATCTACGGCCTTGGAAGACAATACGTGTTGGGATTCAGGAGCTAAATCCAAGCAGTCCACCGCTAAAGCTCACTGACACTCATCCTGAAATGCAACCGCCCCACACGTATGTGACAGCTCAGGTTAAGCAGCGCCGCAGCTTTGTATGCCGGCACCGATATGCGTGCCATCCGTAAGTGCCACGGGACAAAGTGCCACACTACACCACACGTTTCTATCACGTTTCCCTTACGATCAATCAGTTTAACCGTATAGATGATCGGACTCTCTTGCTGAATCCTTTTCATCTCCTTGATTTGGGGAAGTCGGCACCTATGGATGGATCTCATTTACCCTGAATCAATTACATCGGCATTAGTTATTGATGCAAATTGCTGCAATGGTAATGAGTGTCAAAAGCCGCCTGTCACATACATCAGGAGCAGAGAAACCACAGAAACCATGCAGCTGTCAGTCACACAGATTTCTAATATCTGGATGTTTTATGGACAATCCTTTTAGAGCTTCAGGCTGTATGTGTTGTAATGTATAGTGTTTACCAGTGTGTGTGAGAGAGCATGTTGGTGAGCGATGGGAGGGAAGTGTTAGCGCCTGTGGCTTTGGTTGGCTTTGTTTTACTGCCTCCCTGCTCTATTGTGTCTTCTGGCCTGCTGGCTGCCTCTGCATATTTTGTTGATCTAAACTAGATCGTTGCCCTAAATTCAAGCAGCCACAGTGAAGGACAACAGGCCTGCTTCAGCCACAAATATTAGTGGATTATTGATCGTCCATTCCTGCCTTTATGTCATTTTTAAAATTTTTTTTTTTTTTTTTGGCCTTTGTGCCTTTATTGGATAGTTTTAGTCAGAGAGAGACAGGAAAGTAGGGGAGAAGAATGGGGGGAGGACATGTGGGAAAGGATCATGAGCAGGAATCGAACTCATGACCTCCACATTGGGACTGTAGCCCTGCATATGGGACACCAGCTCAACCAGGTGAGCTACAGCGGCGCCCCCTTTGTGTCATTCTTTAGGCTGTTGATCAACATTAGAACCAGTATGTTGATTCAGGACCTGAACGGTGGATCGGTGGTTAGCAGCGTCGCCTCACAAGGTCACCCGGGATCTTTCTGCGTGGAGTCTCCATGTTCTCCCCGTGCAGCGTGGGTTCTCTCCGGGTTCTCCGGCTTCCTCCCACAGTCCAGAAACATGCTGAGGTTAATTGGTGATTGTAAATTGTCCGTAGGTGTGAATGTGAGTGTGCTTGGTTGTCTGTCTCTAAGTGTAGCCCTGTGATAGACTGGTTACCTGTCCAGGTGAACCTGCCTTCACCCTGAGTCAGCTGGGATAGGCTCCAGCCTCCCATGACCCTGGTGAGGATTAAGGTGTAGAGATGATGGATGGATATGGATTCAGACTGGGTAATGAGTAAAGATTTTCTCCACAATGAGTCATGCTGAGTAAAAATGCCATCTCATAGGTTACAGATTGCTCACAGGGGTCAAGAAGTCCTGTCTGGTCTGGCGTTGCTGCGAAGTCCACGTAGTTGTTGTTGCACGCGTGATGTTGCCGTGTAGCTCTGCAGAGTCGGTGTATGTATTTGTATATTGCATCTGCTGTTGATGTTTCTGACACTATCTTAAATATTACATAACAGGTGTCTCTGTCTGGGTTCATACTGAAGTTGAGAATGCTGTTCCTTCTAAGGTGACAGGGCCGCCAGTGGCTGGGCAGGGTGTCTCAGGTAATGGAAACCTCAGGAGCTGCTGTCTGCTGGCTGTCAGCCGCTTGTCTACCCAAGCCTTTCTGTCCACCTCACCTCC